ACACTCAGGGGTAAACTGTTAAGTGGTTAAATTGTTTTGAAAATAATTTTTATGTCCTATTTTTTCCCTCCCTCTTCTTTTATGACCTAATTTTATGCCTATTTTTGGGATCCCAATAATGGTCTTAAGTATCTCCAGAAAAAGGCTGTACAAAAAAATATTTTCAATATTGCACAATAGGAACAAAATTCTACACATTTTAATCACTGACTGTCCTTTGCCTAAATAGTATAGTGTTTGTATAACCTGAGTTTAGTATTTGTTCTTGTTTTTAGTTTGCTAGGCATGCTGAGAATGGATATTTCCCAGCACTAATTTTTTTTGAAGGAGGGGAGGGGAGGGGAGAGGAGAGGAGAGCGCAAGGACCTGAGTTTGATCCCCAGTACCAAAAAAATAAAATAAATAAATTTTACAAGGGGAAAAAATGAGAACCAAGACCTGTCATGTAAAGGTACAAGATCCCAGTAATGAATGTAACTGTACTGTATACCTAGAATGCACCAATAAACTCAATAAAAAGAAAAACAAAAGAAAAGAGAAACCTCAAAACCCGGCATCAGTATAGAATTAAATAAGGAAATGGCAAGGTGTCTAGGGTGAGATAATACACATGACCAGGATTACCTGTCTCTGGCTTTTTTTGGTATGAAAGCCTGAAAGGGGACACTACTACAGCAATCCCTCTCCCCAAGAGGCATTTCTTAGAGTGGCTCTAAATCCATTAGCACAGCCCATCTCCAATCTCAGCAGAGGGTAGAGACCTTGGGGAGCATAGGGCTCTCTCCTGGAAAAGGGTGCAGTAATTCTGGAACAGGATTCTGGTAGAAGAAATCTGTCTTAAGAAGCTCTCCAGGTGATGTGTATGTCCAAAAAAAGCTTAAGAACTAGAGCAGCTGACAGTTGACCATGTAACTGACCTTCAAGTTGAAGGTCAAGTTGGAAGGGGATACCCTTGCATCAGACATGAAAAAACTGCAAAACTACCCTTGTTTTCTGAAAAACACAGGCTTGCCTTGTGGAATATCAATATCAACAAGGCCCCAACCTCAGCCAAGCAAATGCCTAACAGCTGGGGGAAAGAAGTGGATCCCAGGCCACTGCCTCCTTTTCCAGGTCCCCCAGGGTGAAGACAGTCAGGGCCTCCACAGCATACAGTTTCTAAGCTACTGGGTGGGGATGGTGGTAGATGATTCATTTAATACAGACTGAATTATAATAATGAAGGGCCATGTAAGTGCTCATCCTTTTGAAAGTGAGATGTCCCCAGAGGCTAATATGTCAGGCTCAGATATGGGTATCCCTGAAGGAAACAGGTCCTGCAGGGCAAAGGCCAATCTGACAGCCCAGCCAGGAGACTGCTGCTAACATGTGATGACATCTCTGTCCCATGCAACTCAAACATGTAGATAGTCTATCAAGATGTCCCCAATAGCTTTTCCTTCTCAGACATAGGCCATAACAGATGGTAATAAAAGACCTCCTCTTGCCTGTTCTCCCCTGAGTAAGAGCACAGCAATGGGGAAGATAAGCCTGATAAATGTGTCCTGGAGCTAGCTGTTCCACACAGCGAAGAGGAGTACTGACAAAGAATTAAAGACTGTCCTCAAAAGCTCCTATGGATCTTTGAGGCAGCAGAACACCCCAGGGCTCAGACATGGCCTGGAGAGAGATGGAGCACTGGAACCAATCTGGAAATTACGGCTAATTCCAGGCAGAAAAGGTGGGCTGCTTTTGACATTGCCTGTACCTTTGACCTGAGGGCCAGTCACAGTGAGGCCACGAGGACCCATAGGCCATGGTGCCCATAAGAGAAAGAGGTCATTCTGTCCAGAATTTTAGGCAGCAGTCAATTAAAGCCTAGAGAAAGGGGATATAATCACATCTGAAGGAAGAGCCTTTCAGAGGGAAACTGCACCCAGATGTGAGTTTGCCCATAATGGAGTGACAAAGTCTGGGACTGTCAGCAAGCCAGGCTTCATTACCCCCATCACAGGAGGAGAGCTTTGAAAAGCCCGATCTGACAAAGAGGGTGACATTAGCAGTCCAGGAAGAAGATTCAGACCTGCCCCCTGATCTCACAGCAGACCCTAGCTCATATTTTCTGTGACCAGAGCCTGAAAGCCAAGTCAGAAGAAAGTGAGAACACAAAGTGCTTAAGAGTCCCCAATTCAGCTTCTTCCATTCATCAAGTTTTTGCTCCAAGGATGCATTTTCTGCTAAACACAAGAGTTTAGACATTCTACAAGTTGCCATGCTCAATTTTTAGCAAACTTTAATGAAGTAGTTTTTGTTTATGAAAGCAGTGCCGGTTAACTAAATAGTGTAACTCTAGGCAGCCTGATTTGGCTGTGGTTCACCCTAAATTCAGGCCAAGATCTGTGAAGAAATAGCCTTTGTCATGCTGAATTTGCAAACCTAAATATAAAGTGACAAGAGTAGCCTCCTGTTTGCTCTGAGTGGAGAGCTATTCCCAGCACCTGCTACCCTGTGGGGCTGCCACACAGAGCAGGTTTTCCAGGAAGGTCTGGGCACTCTCCTGGGAGAACCTCCATGCATCCTTCTTTGTCAGTCCCTCCTCTGGATGCAAGGAGGTTTCTGGCTCCCCAGGTCCCACTTGAGTACCAGGTACACATTTTCTCTCCATGCTTGGGGTCTGGCAGCAGACTACAAGGCTTACAGTGAAAGGAAAGAAAACTGGCCACAGCCGGCAGCACATCAGTCCATCCTGAGCATGCAGAGACCAAGGGGGCTCCTCTTAGCTTCTCTATCAGGAGAAAGACTCACTCACCAAGGCCCAGATTGAAGAGGCTAGGTAAGAGCTGCTCCGAAAGGAACAACCTTTTGAAGGGAATAGGAAGAGAGAAGAGAACTAGGTAGAGAAGCCTTGAGATCCAGCCAAGTCAAGACCCACATGACAGAGGTCTGGATAAGGCAGAGATAGCAGGCAGGAGGAAGCTGGTATCAGCGCTGCGGGCAGTCAGGCTGGTCCCAGAACAGCAAGTGGGGAAAGAGTGTTGGGATCCCCAGGAGCGGGTAACAAGTCAGTGGTGTTGACACGGCTTTACCATGCTTTCCAGTCCTTCTGTGGCCTTGGATGGGAAACAGAGAAAGCACATCTACTCTTGAGGTGTGGGCAGAAGGTCCCAGGTGGCAATGAGTCATGGGACTCTGCTTTTACTGCGCCATGTTCCCTCGTAGATCAGCCCTAAACACCTGCTATTTCTCGCCAACTTCTCCAAGGACACAGCCTAGCCTCAGGTGCAGCCCAACACTTACTTTCCATCTCCATCAGCTCCTTGCCACACCACTGCTTGGGCTCGCCACCATGCGTTACAACACTCAATGGTCTCACTGAGCCCTTGAGGCTGCTGTTCACAGACCAGGAAGAAGGTGCACAGGATGTAGGCAGGTGGCCCAGGTCATGTGGCCAAGGGATCAGGCCCAACCCCTGGTTGTCCTGACTTCAAGACCAGTGCTTTTATTCCATCCCACCAAAGCAGCAGTTCTTAACTGTGGCTGCACACTGGCGTCCCAAGCAAAACTGATCAAATAACAACTGTGCCCACACAAGTATGGGTCCAGTTTATGAGGACCAGGTCCTCTACAGAAGTCCCCCAGGTAACTGTAATATGCAGCATGAACTCCAGGATAGCAGGTCCTTGTCTACATCCCTGCTCTGGGCACTGGGCCCAGACCATGTTAGAGGTAAGCATCTAAAAGAATGAGTTTTTCTGGTAAGGATTCCCAATGGTTTGTGTGTTGGGAAACATGGTGCTCTGTGTGGCAATGGTGGCAGATGGTGGACCTGGAAGAGGCAGGGTCTAGAGAGAGGAAGGTCACTGGCTGCATCTCTCTCAGAAGGGATTAAGGTAGGGTCAGGCATGGTGGCACAGGCCTGTAATCCCAGGGACTTGGAGGCTGAGGGAAGAGGATTACAAATTCGAGGCCAACCTGCGCAATTTAGTGAGACCTCATCTTAAAAAGTAAAGGGCTGGAGGTGTAGTTTAGTGGTAGAGCACTTGTGTAGCATGTGTGCAGCTCTGGGCTCAATTCTCAGTATTGCAAAACCAATCAATAAATTAAAAACGAAAAGAAAGGTGTTAAGGTATGGAGCCCCGATTAACCTTCTCAAGAGCAAGCTGCTGCTGACACCTGAGCCCAAATCACTCTCTTGCTTCCTGTATGGCCATTTGACATTATTCCCATACACACTCCACCACCACTGTGGTGCCATCTGCCACAAGAACTGCACCAGAGTCAAGACTATGTTGGCACCATGCCCTCACACCTTCAGAATAGTGAGCTAGATAAACCTCATTTCTTATAAAGCTACCCAGCCTTGGGCGTTTCATTAAGTAACAAAAGTGTATCTAACTCTTCCATCATCCAGATGCGAACCACAAGTATGAGCCCAGGCCTGAGCCCAGGCCCCAGAGCAGTCTTTCCCCTCCTCCAGGCTCTTCTACAGGGATACAAAAGCAAGTCTTCTCACAACATCCCCTTCAACCTGTTAGCTTTGCTGTTCAAATTTCTAAACCTTGCTCCAAGTGGAGGGATATACATTTAAGAACCCCCAAACTAATTTTCAACCATCTCTCCCACTCCTCATGCATCCTGATCTGGCCAGGCAGCTGTCTGTCTCTTGTAGGAGGCTTGTACATTGCTGCCATTGTGCCTTTGAATGGCACCCAATGCCCTCTGTCTCCCCTCCAGCTATCTGGATCCTCCTCATCCACGAGGACCCAACTCCTCTGTTGTGTTCTTCTCCCTGCTCCCAGCAATTCTTTCAGCTCTAAGACTGAGACCAAGAACCTTACTTGGCTCCACTGGTGGTTTCTGTCATTTTGACATGCACATGTCTTAAATGACCAATATAGTGGTATCACGTGAGGACAGCATCCATTAGCACACCCTTTATCTCCCACCCAGTGACAACACTGCATTCTCTGTGCCACTAAGCCTTCCTAGGCCCTTGGCTATGCTGAGGCCAATAGCCTTACCTGTAATACCGGGACTGCAAGTAGGTGGAGCACACAGCCTTGGACACGTGACTAGCTGAGCCAAAGTCGATGACCTTTACTCTGTACGGTTGTCTGGATGGATCCACCAGCATGATATTCTCTGGTTTGAGGTCAGCATGGATAAGACCCAGGCTTTTGAGTTTCATCAGGGCTGTTGCTACCTGTTGGAGGACTGGGCGAATGTATTTGAGGGGTAAGGGGCTAAACTTGTTCTGCTTGAGAAAGTCATAGAGGTTCTGCTCCAACATCTCAAAGACCAAACATGTGTGGTTCTTGTGCTGGAAGCACTCATAGGCCCGCACAAAGTTGTAGTCATCAGCACTCTCTGTGCTCAGCCGGGCCAGGATGCTCACTTCTATCTGACCCTGCCGGGCATATGAAGGATGGTTCTTCAGGATCTTGATGGCCACAATTTCATTGGTACCCCGTTTCCAGCACTTAACCACTTGCCCAAATGTCCCTCGGCCCAAGAACTCCAAAACCTCATAGGTGTTGGTCATGGAGCACAGCACTTCATGCTGCACCAGCTGATAATCACCTTCACTATTGGAGCCACTGTTTTTGGAGGTGGCAGTGGATGTGGTGGCAGTGGCTACAGTGGCCCCACTGGCATTATTCTGAATCATGGGTGGATGCTCTTCGATGATCTGCACACTACTTGTATTCTCAATCTCCTCACTCTTACGCTTGAGTCCACATTTTTGGTAGGTATCAAGGAGGCTCACAGTGCTTCGACGCATTAGGTTATGTGGTCCACCTAGGACTTGCCCAGTGACAGAAGTGCTACTTGCTGATGTTACGACTATGTGCCCGGTGCTTCCTGGGAAGATGATGGTCTGCTCGTAAGGGAGGCTGGGGTTTGGGATTGGCAAGGAGGTGCTGACGGTTGTGGTGGCTGGCTGCGAAGGTGGGATGTTCTTGCTCTGGCTGTACACTTTGCCGTGGGAGCCGTACCCAGTCATGTCCCAGTTGGAACTCGGCTCGACTTTCAGTTTCTTCACACTACAGAAGGCACTTGACTGAAGGGTGTGAGGGGAGAAAATTTGCACATGTGAGGCCATACCTATAAGAAAAAGAAGGGGAAAATAAATATTTGATACAGTCTTACCTGAATAACCTCAGCAGATTCATCTGGATTCTGATTAGTGGCTTGAGTCATACTTTCCTCCCACTTCAAAAGGAGCTACCCCACCAGATGCACATTCTGGTCTCCTGGTGTGTAGAACTAAATGATTCTGGCATTCCAACCGCCACCAAGTCAAGGCAAGGAGAGCCAGGGATAGACTCCATTAAGATACCAAATTGGGGTATCAGAACTTTGTTCAACATGTACATCTTTTTTTTTTTTTGTAGCAGGGATTGAACTTGGGTCCTTGCGCTTGCAAGGCAGGCCACCGAACCACTGAGCTAAATCCCCGGCCCTCAACATGTATTTCTTATGAATATTATTTGTGGCAGAAACAGATCCTTCTTCCACTCTCAGACTATACCAAGTGGCCCAGACTGATGTTATACACATAGCTCCTCCACATGGTCAGCTCAGCCTTGCCAACAGACCGTGAGAGCCACGTTCCCTGCAATGAGGAAACATGGTCCCATGCAGGTCCCATCATGGGGCCACTCATGATCTGCCCAGATTCTGGATGAGACATCATTACTGCCTGGCCTCTTGGTTGTCTTAAATAGATTCTGTGGGGTTGAATAGATTAAGAATTGACCTGATGGCTTCAACAAAAACAAAAACAAAAACAAAAACCTAAAACCTTTTATCAGCCCTTTTTTGAGGAAGAGGTGGCATAATTCATGAATTTCATTCACTCACTTTTTCTGCTAAATTCATGTATCAATAACCTTTGCCAGAAAGTACTAGGATTTCCTACCAACATGATCATAATTCAGGTAACCTTAGAATCTTTTAGACCATTATTCTATAATAGTTGTACGATTTATAACTATGGTGATGCTAAACACAAATACAAAAAAAGTCACAAAATTTCTGAAGGAAAAATAGCAAAGAGGAAGGTTAAATAAGGTAAAAGGAAAAACAAATATTGCCCATCCTCTAAACTACAGTAGATAAATACATCTTACAGAAGCATTTGGAATTCTGTGAGCCCTAGCACTACCAGGAATGGTTAACATTTCCTCTTCATCCAACCCTGGCCCACCCTTTCTCAGCAAGTGATCCACCATCCACTTTATCCAGAAGCCCAGGGTCAGTCTGATTTTCCTCCTTCTCTGCTTCTCCATTTCAAAATATTACTGCATCTATGTCCATCCTCCTCCCTCTTGCCTCCAATCCCAGAAGATAGGCTTCTCCTTTCTAACCTTAAAATCCCCCATCCTTGTAACTCCTCTTCTCCCATTTTCTCTAAACTGCTGCTTCCTCTGTTGTTCTCTTTCTCTTGTGGCTTTCAACTTTGCCCTATTAACTGGATCCAGATCTTTGGTGGGTATGGAACAAAGGTTAGCTAAAGAAACCACAGATGTAATCTTTTGCTTCTGCCTTCATGTGCACGCGCCGGCACACACACACATACTCCCATGGAAGACAAGAGGAGCACCAGCCATAACCCTCCCTCTGAACACTTTCCTAACCTGTAAGCCAGTATTGTTAGAACCCCTTTTCCACTTCTCACTTCTTAAACCACCTCCCCTTCCCCCATTCATACACTTATGCCTACATTCTTAAAGGTAAATGACTTCCTAACTGCCCAATCCAGTGGCCTTTTGTCAGCCCCTATTTTCCTTAGCTTCTCTGTAACAACTCATAGGGCTGACCACAACTTCCTTCTTGATGCTCTTATCTGGAGGGTGTGAATCTGCAACCTCCTCCTCCCAGGGTCCGATTGCACACTTTATGCTTGGGTGGCTCCTCTTCCTCTTCCCTTCTTTCAAGTCCTGGCATTTCCAGTGTTCTGACTGTTCTCTCAAGTCATCCATTTGAACAGTTTAAACTGTCATCTTTATGCAGCCAACTCCCACGTTTATCTCAGGCCAATATCCCCTCCTATGTTCCAACGATAACTTTCTGCTTCTTGCTACAACATCAAAGATGATGTTCCAAATCTGAACTCTGTATCTTTTTCTGCAAACCAAATATCATCCTCCATCCTATTATTTGAATTTCTATTCATAAAATATCCTTCTAGTTAGTTTCTAACTGGATTTATGTTTGATGATTTTTTTTAACCTCCACAGGTATACACAGAGAGTCCTAGGTCTCAATTTCTTCTTCCTTCAAAATGTCTCTTGCATTCAATTCTTTATTTCTTTTGCTACCACTTCTATCATTTTCCAATCACAGCAATGATGAAAATACAAACATCTGGTCTATCTGAGCATTCCTTCCTTTAACATGCCTATATTTGGCCACCAGACTTAACCTCCCCTAAATCATCTGAACATTTCAATCCTCTACCTAAAAACTTTCAATGACTCTTCAGTCTGGCTTGCCTATACGGCATCCATACTTCATCTGCTTCTTCCTACTGCTTTTTCTGTTCAGCTCAACCTTCCCCTAATTCTATAACAACATTGAAAGTGGTTATTCTCTATTCATCAGTATTAAATATCCAAATTGATCCAGGTGTTGTACACACTATAGAAATGATTAACTCCTTGCTTCTCAGTCATTTATCCACAAAAGAGCCCAAGTAAAATGTATTTTCTTCATGGTTTGGTCCCTAGCTTGTCCCTCATGCTTCAATCCTCACGTACTTCGTGGGGGAAGGGTGGGCATCAAAGGCAGCAAAAGCAGAAAACTTTGCTGACTACACATGAAAGCAGTGAGGTGCTATGCCCAGTTTTTACTGTTTCAAAAGTTCTTGGTAGAAAGGCCAAGGCAAAGAAGTGGAATTTTACAGAAGGGAAGAGGGTAGCTTATGACTTAGTTGTTAATGGGATGACAGCCAAGAGTCATAAAACTGTGGAACTCATCACTGGCTGCCTCTAGTGACAGATGCCTGAGATCAGAGAGCAGACTTGCATGACCAGGACTGCCCTTCACCCTTTGCCATGCTGGGACTGCTATGGCCACCGCAGAAGTCAACAGCCACTGTTCCAAGAACCAGACATGATGCCAATGCAGCCTTTTACCTTGTTCTGCAGGGGCCACTTTGCTCTGGGCAACAGAATGCCTGACAAGACAAAGCTAAAGAAAGTCTTTAATGGTAATAATGTCTAGAATCCTAGATATACCTTTGTAAGAAATAAAATACCACTAATCGTTATATAGCTTAATTTTAAAATAATCTCAAGGCCACAATCAAATTTATTTCCAAACATTTCTCCTTGAAAGTATTTTTCTGGAACAAATCTTGATTAGTTTAGCTCTTGGTGAATCAAGCCCACAACCTTTTCCTGCTGTATTTATTCAGATCCCTAAAGCGATGGATGGGGTGGGATAGGGAGGAACATAAGACCTTTTTGTTTTCCACTGTAAAGGAGGAGCTAAATGTTCCTTCCAGTTTCTTTGTTGACTGCTGAATGCTTCAAGGCCCACTTACCTCTTTATCAGTTTTATTCTTAGAAATGGCAGGGGCTTAACAGACATTTTCAGTTTGATTCTATGGCAAATTTTTTGGGGGGGCGGGTCCTAGGGATTGAACCCAGGCCCTTGAGCCTGTTATGCAAGTTCTGAACTATATCCTCAGCCCTCTGTTATTTTTATTTTGAAATAGGGTCTCACTAAATTGCCCAGAATGGCCTTGAACTTGTGATCCTCCTGCCTCAGCCTCCCCAAAACTGGGATTACAAGCCTGTACCACCACACCTGGCTCAAATGCATTTTACTTTGTCTCTGTCTTTCCTGTTGGGTTCTTAGAAGAGAAAGTAGATTCAGCCCCACCTTGGTGGAAAGCTGGGGAGTCCATTATGACACTGCTGCGATGACAGGTTTTGAGCCCTTCGGTAATGGTATGAGGGACAAAGGAAATCCAGGTCAGATAAATCTGCAACAATCATAGCTGTCCCCTAGAAGGGTGATCCAACCCAGACATATCCATAAGTCTTGGTAGTTTCCAAAGTAAAACCTGATGACACAGCCACATTGCCACATATTGTACAGGTGTAGCAAGTCACCCTAATCTAGCTAGAACCAACCTTCTTCTACAAAGCTGTGCACCTATTACCATCCCACTTTGTCTCCTAAAAAGGCCCAAATCGTAAACTCTGAATATCACATAGATACAGGGGCCTGCTATGCCTTTTGATGTTACTTAGGCGAGTTTATGTGGATGCCACACAAATGACCAGTAAAAAAAGGATTTAAAAACAAATTTATTGCAAGTTAAGACAATTAATGTCACACAACTATACATAATAAATTCCTCATGAAATTTCAAAAGAAAATTAGCACCTATAAAACTGACATTAATATATAACCTGTAATTATTCAATTTTAAAAGTGTTCTTGTATTTGTAAAAAGTCACTCTTGCCGAGCCTGGTGGCACATGCCTATAAACGCAGCACTTGAGAGGATGAGGCAGGAGGCCAGCCTGGACTACCTAGGAAGTTAAAGGCCAGTCTGAACCACATAAGTGAGACTCTGCCTAAAACAAATGTGATTCCTTATTGCTGTAGAGACAATAGAGGCCAAGGCTAACTCATACTTGAAATAAATCTGGGTTTCCCAGGCTTAGAGTGCATTACAATAGCCTGTACATTTAGGCAATGAAGCTCTGATCTCTCTTTGGGCTACTTTATTAACATACTCATTTTGCATTAAAAAAGTACGTAGGTCCGCATTTTAAAATACTATTTTCAAAACACTGCCTTGCAGATGTCATGTATGTCCATAAAATAACACCTGACTGCAATCTCTATTTTCAGGCTTCACCAAAAACATGTAGAAGTTCCTGAGCATCAAACACACACCAGCCCAGGGGACAGGTGCCTCCTGGACAGTGAGCACACAGAAGAGTGCCTGGGACAGCCCTAGCTCCCTGGCTCTGCCACCCAATTACTACTAGCACTTACCTACTTTCATTCTCACAGGGGGTGAGCTGAGAGGTAAGGTTAAGTGAGGGGTGCAGGCTTGTAGGACAGGGAGCAGACTCTCA